CCGCGGCCTACCCGCCGATCGGAACGGCACGAAATATTCGGCGGCGGCGGCTCATCTTCGCTGATATGGCGCCTGCTCTGTGCTGTCGGAGGCGGCCGTCGCTGGATTGGGCTGTCTGCATGCGGCCAGTGACGTCAGGAGTCGCTGTATGCATGCGACCTGTGACGTCAGCAGCTGCTGTTCCGAGTGCCGCGTGCGCGCGCGCGGTAGCCTTCAGTGCATGGTAATGGGCCACCAGCTGCGGCTGATAGCCGGCGGTGGATGTCGGCGCGTCAGGCTTGCCAAATCGGGCGTCGAGTATCTGGCAGGTGGTGATGACCTGATCTGACCTGACCTGACCTGACCTGACCTGACCTGACCTGACCCGACCCGACCTAACCTAACCTGGCCTGGCTTGTACCACCGGCAGCCGATGACCAGATGTGGATGGTGCCGCTGTCGTTCAGCTCCAGCAAGTCCCCATCCGAGACCATCCACAAGGTGATTCTGGATACGAAGTCAACGGAGGTACGACTGGAGAATATCGCCCCCGCAGACTGGGTCAAGGTCAACCCCGGCTCGGTTGGCTTCTACAGGTGAGCGTTCCTTGCGCCCACGTGACCCCTCACAAGCTCAGGCTGAGGTGAGCGTCAGGCAATGCCACAGACGTTGTGACTCTGCTCCGTAAAAGTCATGCGGGAATTTTTTAAGCAGAGTGGATTGGCCTCATTTCTGTTTTAGGCATTGTTTTGCGGTGACGTAACACTCGTCCCTTGTATTGATCGCCGAGTACAAGGGACCCGTGGTCAGCCGGAGCGAGGGGAGCGACTAGTGGCGGCCCGCAGGCACACTGCATTTCCCAAACCGCAATGACGGATGCGCTACATGTGATTATCATGTCTGCAAGATGATCAGCGCGGCATGTCATGTTTGGCCGTACTCGGACGATGAAGGATAGCCTTGTGCCGCCGCGCTGCAGCGAGATGGTGTCGCTACCGCGATGTGCACCGAGTTGTTGGATCTCATCGGAGCGTAAGGTGCCGGCCCTGCTCTGCTGAATGGTGTAACGCTACCTGTCACGGCTGGGCTGCGGGGGAAAATGTCGAACCTATGTGATGTCCCAGCTAAAAAGGACACGAACTCCCGAATAGCAAAGGAACCGATCACATCCGGGAAGCTCGCGTAGGTCCAACTCGATGCCCCCCCCCCCCCCCCCATCGCCACCCGTGCCACGCCTCCCTTCTCTCCAGTTGGCGTCGACCTCTTCCTCACCTGCCGTCCCCAATGTGTCGGTGCCGACGGGGAAGGCGCCTGGCCTCAGTCGCGCGCTAACCGGCCGCGCGCGCCCACGTCGTGCAGGGTGCAGTACCCGCCTGAGATGCTGGAGCAGTTCAAATCGGCCATCGCCAGCAAGGTTATGCCACCGCTTGACCGCAATGGCCTCGTGGACGACCTGTTCGCCCTGGTGAGTATGGCGTCGTCTGGCTGCCGCTGCCGCCGCCGCTTGGGCTGACGGCGGAGGATGGAGTTGCGTGCACTGCGGCGAACTGGTGTATTTGCGTCCCGCTGATGTAGACGGAGCAGCCGGACGTGACTTACTGAGGAGCCGGCTGACCGGTCCAGCGCGCTGCCGATCACGGCGCAGCGCGAGCCGTGCCCTGGCGGCCACTGACCGTGCCGTGCCGTGCCGTCGCTCAGGTGCAGGCGGGCGACTCGAGCACGGTGGACTTCCTGCGGCTGGCGGCGTCGTTCCGTGACGAGGACGAGTTCACCGTGTGGTCGTGCCTGCTGAGCTGCCTGCGCCGCCTGCGGCCGCTGCTGCAGCACACGGACATGGTGGAGCCGTACCACGCCTACTGCCGCCGTCTGCTGCAGGCCATCCACGCCCGGCTCGGCTGGCACCAGCAGGACGGAGAGAGTGAGTCGGAGCTGCCCCTGGGTTGCACTCCCCCTGGCTGGTCGCCGGGCCAGGAATGCCACGTGGAGTCGTATCCAGCGACACTGTCGTCCTGGCCGCAATTGGATGTTTGCTTTATGTTTTGCAGCAGGTCGGCAGTAATGGGTCCGACCGACTGCGTCCACCTCAACTGTGTACACCTCGCCCGCCTCCCCACAACTGCGCACACCTCACAACTGTGTACACCCCGCCCGCATCCCCACAACTGCGCACACCTCACAACTGTGTACACCCCGCCCGCATTCCCACAACTGCGAACATCTCACAACTGTGTACACCTTGCCGGCATTCCCACAACTGCGCACATCTCACAACTGCGTACACCTCACGACCGCGTACACCTTGCCGGCATTCCCACAACTGCGCAACCTCACAACTGTGTACACCCCGCCCGCATCCCCACAACTGCGTACACCTCACAACTGTGTACACCCCGCCTGCATCCCCACAACTGCGTACACCTCACCTGTCACCTCGCGCGCCAGGTCACGCGGCTTCCTCTGACTGGGCTGGCCTGGCTCCACCCTGCCATGTCACAGAATAGCTGTTGCATACCCAGCGCGACCATCCCAACGCCCGGCCACGTGACGACCGTGCTGACGTGACCTCTGCCGGCTCCGTGCGCCAGGCCACGTGACGACCGTGCTGACCTGACCTCTGCCGGCTCCGTGCGCCAGGCCACATGACGACCCTGCTGCGGCCGCTGGTGATCGCCCACCTGGTGTCGTTCGACGACGAGGTGGTGCTGGCCGAGGCGGAGCGGCTGTTCCGCGCGCACCTGGACGGCGGGGGCGTGCTGCACGCCGACCTCCGCTCGGCCGCCTACCGCGCCGTGCTCAAGCGCGGCGGCAAGGAGGAGTACGCCATGATGCTCAAGGTGCGGCGTGCGGCCGCGCCGTCGCCTGAACAGGGAGCGCCTGCAAGGCTGCCCTGCTCTTTGTTTGGGGTGTTTGAGAACGGTGACCGTCGCAGGCCCAGCTATGCTGGTGGAGGGAATGTGTGTTTGTCGAACGTCTTGGTCATATCCGGAGATGTGCGTTCTGGATGAGAGATTAGTCCTCGGAAGGGATAGAGCGCTATTTTCATAACGTGAAGCCGGGGCTGAAGAAGTCCTGGCTCGTGTCGATGTGGCGTCCTCGCGTTTGTGGACGCTTCTGTCGTTGCCGCGCCGCGTCGGAGCCGGTGCTGTTGCAACGCGCCGGCTCCAGGGCAACATATACAAACGTCCGTTTCTAACGACACGGGAGCGTGCAACGCCAATGATCAGCAGCACGCGGTGCCTGGGCCGTGGTGCGCCAGCGGGTGGCGCATGCGTAGGCTGACGCTGCCGCGGGCCGCTCCCCAGCTGTACCGGGAGGCTGAGATGCACGAGGAGAAGAACCGGATCGCGCACGCGCTCGGCTCAATCCCGGACGTCTCGCTGCTCTCCAGCGTGCTCGAGTTCGCACTTTCGGTGGGTGTCGCCACCCTGGTGGATTGGCGTCGTGTGAACTTCGAGCGTTTGTAAGCGAATCATCTTCCAGTGTTGTAAACGAATTACCTTCGAGCGTGCTTGAGTGAAGTACTTCGAATGTTTGTGAGCGAGTCACGTTCGACCTACCTTCGAACGGTTGGGTTTTCTTGCCCCACCTGGAGCCGCTGACTTGCTCATAGGCTTGACCCGTCTGTACGTTAAGTGTCGAGTAGAGCTGTTCAAACACGTAGCTGGTGACATGGGGCGCCAACGCTCCGCGTGAATCGACTGTGCTGCCATCTGTTGCTGAGAGAAGCGTATGGCGGATGACACGCACGCCGCCGCGAGCCCAGTGTTTGAAGACGGTGCATGTCGGCAGGACGAGGTGCGAGCCCAGGAGTCGGTGTTCGTCATGATCTCGGTCTCCTCGAACCGGATAGGACGCGACCTCACCTGGGACTTCTACAAGCAGAACTGGCAGATCCTCTGCGACCGGTACAAGGTACGCGCCCGCCTGCGCCACCACACGTCCGCTGGATGCTGGGCCTTTAGGCCTGGCGAGATCCAGACGTCAGGACCGCGATTATTTATGTGACCTACAGCCAGTCCTTCAGACCCCTATGCCCCTCAACCAGGCTTTTGATATTCGGTTCCGTTGGGCCGCCCAGGCCCTTGTTCGGGCCTCCTCGAACACTGCGTCTGGCCGACTTAGGGCACCTTGCCAGCGCAGGTCCCACGTTAGGCGCTATGGGCCCCGACCGACATAAATCGCTGGTTTCGACTCTGTTCCTGCTTGGAAAGTGGGCGCCCATGGGACCCATGCCGCCACAGAGCCGATGGTGCGTTACTGGCGGTGCTGGACCGACATATATTCTCTTGTCGACTTAGGGCCCGATCAGCGTGCGGGGCCCTGTGACTGGCATCGGAATGTCCGTCCCTGTGGGCGGGGGTCCCTGAATACGACCTCCGGCCGGCCTTTCGGGTACTTAATCGTAGCTTCCGAGGGGCCGAAAAGGCCCCTTGGAACCAAGGGGTGGGGCACGTCCCTTCAATGCCCCCCCCCCCCGCCCCTCCTTTGCCTCCGCTCCTGCATACCACGATGTTTCACCACGCATACGCACAGCATTTTTAAAAGGCAACAATCACGATTTAGCATGTTTTGCGATCAGCTGTGCATAACGACGCGTGGTCCAGTGTGATCTCGCGGTCCCACGCGGCGGCCTCGTGCGCGGGGAGCGGCAATCCCGTGTTGGTCGTCACTGCCGGCCGTGTCGTGCGGTCCTGCAGCACTGACCCGGCACATTCCCTACAGGGCCGCCTGCTGGCTCAGCTGGTCAAGTCGCTGACGGACGACTTTTGCACGCTGGAGCGCGCCGAGGAGGTGGAGCAGTTCTTCTGCCAGCACCCGCACCCGGGCGCCGAGCGCAGCATCCAGCAGGCGCTGGAGACCATCCGCCTCAACGCTGCCTGGCTGCAGCGCGACCGCGACGCGCTGGCCCAGTACCTGGCGCAGTGTCAGTAGCCGCCGCCAGGGGCGCTGTCGGCCCGGCGAGGTTCCGGTGGCGGCCGCAGCGCGGCACTGCTGGCGTGCGACGCGGGTTTGCGCGTGGCGGTCGATGGCGAGCGAGATGGGAGGTGCGAGCGGGGGGCGCAGAGTGGGCCTGGAAGGGGTGTCGCCCATCCAGTAGTGACGGCTTAGCGCGAAAAAAATGAATTTGCAGGTATGTTTGATTAGCACTATGCTTGCATGCATTTGATATTGATGGCACTGTCGCATCCCACCATGTTGTTTATCAAGTCATGTGTTTGGGTCGATTTTCCAGGCATGTTTGATACTATAGCATAATTCATTTGCATAGCCCGCAGCATAATTGTTACAGACTGAATGTTAATAGAGTTCTGGTGCAAAGCCTGTGATGCAGGTTAATGAAAACCTCGGTGGGGAACCTGCGGTGTGGTGCGGGTTATACCTTTGCAATGTACGAACCGGAAGGTTTTTTATGTTGTAATTGAAAATTCCGTTGTGTGCCGGCAGCTATTTCCCGTGGGACAGTTAAGTATCACTACATGTTGGATTTGGTTGTGTGTTGTACAAAGCAAGTACTCAGTCCAGTTCAAATGGCTGCTTGCATGCTAGTTTTGCTGGTGTTGCTCCTATTTGCGAAGCTTGAGTACAACTGTTCGATCAAATATTTGTTGATTTTTCTGTTTCCATCGAATAAATGTCAGTTAATGATGTGTGTGTTGTGGTCAGTGACCGCAGATCTTCGCAGGCGATGGGACAGGGGCATATGCCGTTGTCAGCCTGTTTCCTCACACGCAATTTAAAGGGTAGCGATGAATTTGCCTGAAGATGGGGCAGTAGTACTCATGCTCGTATCGTGAGGTCCGTGATGGATAGACATCCACTTGAATGTACGCCCGGGTGGTCGGTTGAAAATCGTTTACTCGGATCGGATGGGGGGTCATTTGATCACTGAGATATCAAAAATGAAACGAAATGTTCTATGTTTAATGAGGTTTTAACTGGAATAGTCACGTTGAAGGCCTTTCGGTGCTGTTCACAATCCTGCCCTTCTTAAGCCGTCTAGCTTCTGAGCTACGCGTCCGCTAAAATGGGGAAGGTTTATCGGGAATGGTATTTCAGTCACCTTGGTATTCATGGCGTTGTAATAATGTCATTCAAAGCCTGCCATCCCGTATGCCATGCGGCTATCAAGGCCAACAAAAGCATAACTGTCGAGGTGTTCACATCGGGCGTTCGTACGCGCAATTTCCAGGTACAACGGCCGTCAACTGGCTCTCAATCAATGTGCAAGATATAACGACGCAATCATGTCCATGACGCAGCGAGGAGCGTATTTACTAAACAGAGAATTACGCTGTCTAGAGCAGTCTTTTCCACTTGAAAGGGATGCCAATGGTTACGTGAGTTCTTTCATCATATCTGATGCTTACTTCAGTATCTTCGAATGTGAAACATTCCCTTTAAGATAGCTAGAGAAGTCTGTATGGGAACTCGCTCATGTCAAAATTGAAGTTCCGAGGTCATGACCTCGGAGTCAAATAAGGTCACACAAGATCAAATTGCAGGTCGATGTTCAAAGTGCCCCCAGGCCTCGTGCAACCGCCTTGAACCTAGATACCTGTTCTGAGCAAAAGGTCGCTGATTTTAACTTAATAACAGTGACCTTTTTACCTTTAGAAGGTCGTGGTGACGACAATCCTATAATATCTGTTATTATAGTAATGGAGCAATGTGTGGTGTATGTATGTGTATATACATATATATATATATATATATATATATATATATATATATATATATTGTGTGTGGTGTGTGTGTGTGTGTGTGTGTGTGTGTGTGTGTGTTGTGTGTGTGTGTGGTGTGTGTGTGTGTGTGTGTGTGTGTGTGTGTGTGTGTGTGTGTGTTGTGTGTGCGTGTGTGTGTGGTGTGTCCACTACTTCGTTGGTGATGTACCTGACAAGCTAATCGTAATAATTTTTAATGGGATTTTCACACGAGCAAGGCCTGCTGGCAAAGTGCGTCCGAGTCATATCAAAATTCCGCGTTTTGCAAGAATGAGCGCGTGGTGTGCGAAAAGAGGGCGCAAAAATCCCCACAGATCTAACACGGGCGACGCTAACTTCGCGACGACTGGCCGACGGCCCGACACGCTTCTTTTCCTGGAGCCACATCTCGATAGCCAAGGGTCGCAGCGACATGAAACTGGCACACCCAGAAGACAATGCCATGCGCCACTGGACTGGTATAAGTTTTAGGTGTCACGTGGTTCGCAGCACGTGCACACATGTTGAAACATACAATTGGCCGTTTTTTGACGGGTTTTACGTTTTGGGCCATATATTGATACGCAGCGGTGGTATGGGCGTGAATTTTGTTTCGCAACATTTACAATTTAAACGGCTACACCTCCAGTGTGCATTCCGAGTTTCTTGCGTCATACGGTCGCGCTGCAAATTGCAATACAAGTTGCAAGCGGCCAAGTTTTGAAAATCGGCGTCGAATACAAGCCCCTACCGTCAAAACTATTCACGATTTAGCGTTGAAAACTACATGAGTGTGTTGGCCGACGCGTTCTTTCTCTTTGCCACCCATTTGTTGACCATATTTTCACAATGGTCTGCTCCGAAATAGGTCTAGATTAATGGGCTGCATGGCGACTCTATGCCGCGACGGAAGGGCGCTGTCCGGTGTCCCGGCCGACGTCGGCGGTTGCTTTAAGGTCAAACGGCCGTCGGATCATGTGATTGGCCGTCGTAATTAACTGCTCCGACCGATAATGCCACCCTGCACCGATATCTCGACAACGGCAGATCGGGGCAACCCGGGAGTGGCACGAAGAGATGAGCCGTGCGAAATGCTGCGATCGCACGTATCACGTGGCACGCGTTCAAAGATGGATTTTGCTCTCGTCCACAGGCTTACCGTTTTGTGCCAAATCTCGGCACCCAGGAAACAGACACACTTCGGAGTGGTACGCTTCGATCCCCGACGGCAATGATTGGTTACATGTGCTACGTGTCATAGCGTTCACGTGTTGAAATATGGATCTGGCTGTTTTCGACATGTTTACAATTCCTGCGATATTGTGGCACTCAGGGCACGAAGTGACTCGAGAGCGCCACGCTTCGATAGGCAATCTAAGGGGCAATCACTTGATGTAAGATGTGGTGTCCCACGCGTCACGTTCCACGTGCGCACTAACTGTGAAGATCCACTTTGCCGATTTCGTCGGTTTTTGCGTTTTACGCCACATTTCCGCACTCAGAGCATGTGGTTTCACGGACAGATATGCCGTGATAAGGAATGAAATGGCCTGTCGTGTGTTTTCACGAGTACGTAAGCACGGGTTACGTGTCACATCCAAACGCTCCGGAACGATTGAAATTTTGTTGCCAGGCCTTAAATTTTTGTGAAGCATTGCAGCACCTAGGTCAGCACCAGCACCAGCACCAATGCGTGCCGCTCGCCAGGTGCCACTGGGGAGCGGCACGGATTGATATGGAATCGAACAGACAATCATGTTGCATGAACTGTTATGTCGCACGTGCTGCGTGTCACGCGTGCGCGACCCAGCAAGCCAGAGTTGGCCGTTACCGACTTTTCGGTGCCATACGATCTTTTCAATAAGATTTGATGACTAATAAGATATCTCACCGTCAGCCTGTAGGTGAGAGCCTGCTTTCCCCGGCCTAACTTGCAAGGAAACAGTTGTGTCACATGACCAGCGAAAGTGTGTCTAAGAATACGCTTGTATTGGTCGACCGTGGGCTCAGGGTAAGCGGGGGGTTTGGCTGGGCCGAAAAATTGGTTTTACTCTAAGTTTGCCGAGTTTCTGCGATTTTTTTCAAATACCTTGACTATTTCGATTAAATTGGACAGAAAAAATATTCTAAATGTACGACTTGCTTGATTTGGTAGATATTAACAATAGGGGTGTCAATATTGGTAAATTATTAGAGGGGGCGAGCCGAAGGCCCGACAGCCTACCGCCCCCTCCCATTTTTTTCTCATCAGATGTAGCCCACTTTATTTTGATTAACGACAATTTGTGTTTCTAATCTTTGTACAGCTTATAAAAATGCATTTGATTTAAGCAGCATATAAGTCATGCAGGGCTGGACCCAGGACGCGGGCGCTGGACGCACGCGTCTATTCTGATTGGTACCTGAAGGCGCCCCTTTAGATGCCACCTTAGGGTGCCGATGGTGCTCTTCTGTGGCGGCCATGGGAAGTGGCACGCATTCTGGTTGTGGGGGACGGGGACGGGGTTAGCCATAAAGGACTTGGGTCATCCCCACATTCTAGAGCTTTTCACTTTAACCTCACAAACCATTGAGTGTCTTATGGCCATATGTATGTGAAGTTCATTGCATCGTTTATCCGCACAGCTGTTACGATTTGTATCTTGTGGTGAGAGCAACCATGACTTTTCGTTATGAGAGTAATACGAGGCACCACTACACGGAAAGATCAAAAAAGATATCTTTGAGTTATGGCCATCTTTCACCCACGTTTTTGTAGTATTCCAGCCAAAAACATTGGAGGACCCAAGCTAGCACTGGGGGGGGGGGGGGGGCATCCCAACATTGGAGGGTCAAAGGGTCAAGGCCCTCACAAAAGAGCACAAATGGACACCCGTGATTAACAGATTACCCGTGAATTTTGCGAAGTTAGCGAGCTAAACTTTAGCTACGAGCTAAAGTTCTGTACTCCCCGCACATTGGAGTGCATCCAAGTGTTCAGCTCATACAGACCGTTAACATATCACAGTTTGAGCGTTTTTGCAGGGGCCGTTTGTGTAGGCTGAACGTGGGCTAAACGTGGGCGGACCGTGGGGTGTCTCTGACACATCATTTGAGGTAACTTCCACTTTTGGGAAGCATCTCCCCGTGCTTATCTTTTGGAGCATCTCCCCGTGCTATCTTCCGCAACGACAGTGCAATATGTCCTTTGATGTCGACGCGCCCTATAATCCCAAATAGTCATTCGATCCTAACGACCAGCACTAGCGCAGCGGGATTACCTGACAAACTGCGAGATCCCAGGGAAAGGGCACATGGAACAGAGTACTTTAACACACTTGGGTGCGACTCAATTTGAGACCCTCTCATTCCCTCCGAGGTTTTTACAAAAAAAAAATATATTTCGGAACGCACGGTGTAGCTGCGCAAAACTCTGTAGATCTGTAGGATGTTGAAAATTGGAGCTTTTGGCATACAAACTTGATGTACCTTGTAAGGTCACTGACTAGTATATGGCAGGTTAAAGTCAGGACGTGGTTGGCTGAAAAGGCCATTTCTAGGGAATCGTTCAACCTGATACGGCAACGGAGTGTTAGGCGAAGCGATGCATCTCTGAGACAGCTTCTTCGGCAAAAAACGATTACAACTGCAATTACAACTAATTTCGTTGACCTAAGGTCAGGTTTAAAGGTCAGACCGAGAACAAAACCGGCCTGCTATTTTGCTACTACTTGGGAGATTGAGAGCTTGCTTATGGAGTAGTTTATGGTGATCATCTTGAATTCACTAATAACGGACAGCAACATAAATGTTCATTAGACTTCTTGAAGATCATAGAGGTCACTGACCTAACATGACCAAGCCCAGCATCTTGTTTTAGGAACATGCTGCCCAGCGAAACCCCTCACGCTTACCCGAATGCCAAAGTGGAAGCAACAGGTGTTTGCACGCTTACTTCCCTGCGCTGA